TCCTCTTTCCTCTCTTGCTTTGTTTTGTATGTGTTGTTTTGTTTAAAAAGAATAAAAATATATTAAAAAATAATAATAAGACCACCCCAAAAATAAGACCAAGCGCTTATTTCGGGGGTTGAAAGAAAATAAGACACTGTCTAATTTTGGGGAAAACATGGTACGTGGAACCCTGACATGGTTCCACCCTGGTATGTCATGGTTCCAACCCTGGTATGTCAAAGGTTCCAAATAAGCCCAAGGAAAGCTAAATACTTCAATACTACGAGTAACAGCTGTGATGAAGAGGAGGTATTAGCTTGGGTACCAGTTCCTCAGACCTTGAAAATCACCAGACGTTCTAATTTTGGCACAAATAGCTTGTTGTGTGGCTTTAGAAACATTTTTATTTTATTTTTTAGGACAGCTGTGTTCTAAACAACGCCTTTATTTTCCAGGTCTCTACAATTCTATGGACAGCTGGATGATTGTCCCCAACATCAAGCAGAACCATTATACGGTGCACGGGTTGCAAAGTGGCACACGATACATCTTCCTCGTCAAGGCGATCAATCAGGCTGGCAGCCGAAACAGTGAGCCTGCCAGACTGAAGACTAACAGTAAGCGTTTTCAGGGTTGGGACTTTCTTCCTGGCCTGAAGATGGGAGGGCAAAGAGCAAACGCATGGGGCATAGAAGCAGAAGCATGGAAAAAGAATGTCTAGAACCGTGTTTCTCAACCTAGGCCACATGAAGGTGTGTGGACTTCAAGTCCTAGAATTCCTCAGCCAGCATTGCTGGTTGGGGAATTCTGGGAGTTGAAGTCCACGCATCTTCAAGTTGGCCAGGTTGAGAAACACTGGTCTAGAAGAACATCTCTACAAGAACAACCTGCAGTTCCTACGAAGGTGTGGTGATGGATTCCAGTCCTTCATATTCCAGAATGGAGTTACGTTTAAAGGGAGAATCCTAGACTGTCTATGAAGGTTGGCTAACACTAGCAATAGCAATAGCAGTTAGACTTATATACCGCTTCATAGGCCTTTCAGGCCTCTCTAAGCGGTTTACAGAGAGTCAGCATAGTGCCCCCAACAATCTGGG